AGTCATGAAACAGCACAAAACTGATAAGAACCGTTTCCAAGATCCCTTTTTTGACAGCAGTTAGGGCTGTTTAACACACTGTGTCTGTCCCCTACAAACTTCACTTGCGCTTCTCTGCCTCTTCCTCTTCTCGGTTTGCAGGAAGAGCTGAGCTTACCTTGATCTGAGCCCAAAGAAGGCAGCAAAGCTGGTTGGAGCAGTGACCTCGTGAGGAGCAACAAAGGGGTTATTTAGCCTGGAGGAGGCTCAGGGGAGACCTTATCGCTCCCTACAACTACCTGAAAGGAGGTTGTGCTGAGGCAGAGGTCGGTCTCTTCTCCAGAATAACTGCAGATAGCACAAGAGGAAACAGCCTCAAGTTGTGCAAGCAAGAATTTCTACATGGAAACAGTGTTGAGGCATTGGAGAGGCTGCCCAGGGAAGTGGTGGAGCCCCCATCCCCAGCAGTGTTCAAGAAACRTGTAGATGATGCACTGAGGAACATGGTTTAGGCAGGCAGGGGGATATGGACTAGATGGTCCTGAAGGTCTTTTCCAACCATGATGATTTTGTGATTCTGTTTATTCCTGGAAAGTCAAGGAGCAGCGGAAGCCCATGAAACCCGCTGCTCCGCAGGACAGGAAAGGCCTTGGGCACACCCAGGACAAGGAGCCCTGTAGCAGCCCAGCTGGGAAAACTCCTCAGCTACCAGGTAAGCAGGCACCTGCTTTCCTCACCCCCTTAAAGGTTCACACCCAGCACAAGCGAAACGCCAGTAACACCCTAAGGGACACAGGAGCTCCCTGCTCCGTGCGCGGAGCACCTTGCCGGGCAGGCAGGGCAGCGAGAGCCAGGGGAGGCTCCACAGCCCGCRCCGGAGGGGCGGCCGCTCCGCAGGCCCCGCGAATTCCCCCTCACAACCGCATCAACCCCAGGCAGGGCTGCAGAGCAGCGAGGCCCGGGGCCGGCTCTTCATTTCTTTCCTCCAACTCCCACCTCCGTGAATACAGAAATGTCCCCTCAGATGGGGGGCACTGCAAGAGCAGCTCCTCACAGCGCGCTGGAGCCTCAGTCCTACACGAGCTCCGCCCAAGGAAAAGCCGGGCTTGCATCAACGCCAGCRTGAAGGGGCACTCTGAGAGCACCTACCACAGAACCACAGACTGGTTRAGGTTGGAAGGGACCTCTAGAGATCACCCAGTGCAACCCCCTGCTCCAGGGACACCCAGAGCACGGGGCACAGGGTGGCAGCCAGGCGGGTTTGGAAGATCTCCAGAGAAGGAGACTCCACAGCCTCCCTGGGCAGCCTCTCCCAGGGCTCTGGCACCTTCACAGTGAAGAAGTTCCTCCTCACATGCAGATGGAACTGCCTGGGTTTCAACTTGTACCCACTTCCCCTTGTCCTGTCACAGGCCACCACTGAGAAGAGCTTGGCCCCTTCCTCCCTATATTCTCCCTTCAGGTACTTGTACATGTTAATCAGATCCCCTCTCAGCCTTCTCCTCTCCAGGCTAAACAGGCCCAACTCACTCAGTCTCTTCTCATACAATAGATGCTCCAGTCCCTTAATCATCTTTGTCGCTCTTCACTGGACCCTCTTGAGAAGCTCCACGTCCTTCTTATMCTGGGGAGCCCAGAACTGCCCACAGTACTCCAGGTGCGAGGTTCAGGCTCAGCTTTGCAGCCCGCTGGCTGCACACGCCCGTGCCCAGCAGCACGAGCAGAGCAGCGCGGCAGCCCCTGCTACACACTCAGATGGGCCCTGGTGATTGCCAGGGAGAAACGAAAAGCTTCAAAGTTCCTGAGCAGGCACCACATGCTCTGCTGTGGGAGGACAGAGATGGGGCTCTCACGTGGCCTGTCCCCTGCTGAGCCAAACTGCCACCTCTGACTTCACCAGGGACCTGGGAAACAGCCTCACATCTGGGTTAGGGGTAACAGCCTCAGATCTGGATTAACAGCCTCAGATCTGAGTTAACAGTCTCAGATCTGGATTAACAGCCTCAGATCTGGGTTAACTCCTCTGCTTTCATTTTTGCTTTTTTTCCACAGAAAAAAACAGTTCAGGAAAATAATTTAGGGCTTTGCCCTCAGTACTCCTGAGGTCAGTATAGAGCTACTCACCTCATGCAGAAGGTCACTGACGGCTGCCACGGGTATAACACAATTACCTTCACCTGCAGTGGAAGCTTAGCCAGTGTGGCCACACATCCGAGGTTAGGCCGAGCACTTGGAACCCCTTCCTTCTAGCAGCTCTAGAGAGAGAAATCTCCACGTCATCCTCCAAAACAACCAGCTGGCTCAGAAACTGGAACAACTCAAAGTGCAACTCAAATATTTGATTTCCCTGCAGGATCTCAGTTTGTGGAAGTAATCTGCTACTAAGAATAGAATAAAATGAACTAAATTACTGCGAATGGAGTAGCAGGAATTTAAAATTAAATGTAGAGTATAATTTAGGTTTATTACAATCAGTTGATAAGCTACATCTTCATCTCAGGTACCTCATTAATGTAGAATTCAAGTGCAAACTAACAGCAAAGTTTTTTTTGACATTTGGAATCATTTACTTTTGGAAAAATGGAATTAAAGTTAGTCTATTCCTTCTTTTAAAGCAACACACAGGAAACAAATTGCACTGGTATCAAATAGCATGTGCATTATTATGCACTAATCTGAATATGCAATGATAGCAAAGTCTTAAGTAATACTTCAGCCAAGGTAAAAAAAAAAATCTAACAATCTTCTTACGATTTGAGTCTGCAGTAAGGATCTGGAGATATCAAGAGTGAGATAAAATGAAAGCCTGCATATAGACGATCCTCAGTTTGCATTTGGGTCCTGCTACCTGAAACACTTGTAGAAAAGAAGTCTGGATATATTGCAGGAAATATGGATGCCATAAATTCACCCTGTGGAGTCACATATCAAGGTAAGAAATGTTTGCAGAAGAACAAGGACATCGCTGGACGAGGTACCAACCCCTTGCACCATCTGGGAAATGCAGCGAGCAGCGACCTCCAGGTTCGGGGCATCTCCAGCTGACTGGATTTCTTCTGCTCCTTACCCAGTGTCTCGCAGCAGTTCACAGGGGCCTGCCCACTCGCAATAAACCCCTGTTAGCTCTGCTTTCCGAGGACCCAACCCAGCAGAGACGGGTGTCGGTGGAGCGGGATGGCTGTTGGGGTTAAAAAGGAACACAGGCAAAGCTCATGTGCAGATTTATGAAAAATAAATTTATTACATAACACCTTGCTTTTAACAATGTTTAATTCTTTTTATTCAGAATACTTGCGTCATTCATGTAAAATAGTTTGATACAGTACATTGTATGTAATAGGTTTTTTTTTCCTCATAAATTCTAAGGCTCTCCTAACACCTCGATCCTTTTGTGTAGGAATGGCACCCCTAAACAACGTGCGAACGGTTTAAAAAAAAAAATAATGAACTGAACGGAACTGAAAATCCACTACACCAAGCTGGGTCTCCAAACTCATGACGAAATATCTGAATGAATGCCGCACCTTTTCAGGAAATATCACTCATGCTTTTGTAATCCCAAAGCATGCTCACAAATCATCAACACCAACAGGAAAAAATAAAACACTATGACAATCATTTCAGTTGGTTTGCGGAACCAAACATGTTTATATCAATGACAACATACTTATTTTACTATCAAATAGCAGCTTTAATACCAGTCAAGTCATAGATTTAAAAACAAAAACAAACTCATGTTGGAAATTAATCTTTGGGAGGTCTGTAATTGCTGGAAAAAAAACGCAAACGTTTCCATGTCTGTAAAAAAATCTCATCGTAGCAATTTGCGTTGGTCATAAAACATTGCTTTATGTGGAAAACGAACCAACCCACAAAAGTCACCAAAAAGAAATGTATATCAAAAATCCTCGCCATCGGCGTCACGGTTGTTTCGCCTCTTTTTTTTTTTGTTTTGTTTTGCTTTTTGCCAGGTTAACACACACTGTACGCTTCAAGTCCCGGCTCCCAGATGCCGGGTGCTATTGGTCAGAGAAACGCTGTTACACCAAGAGAACTCACCACAGACGACAACAAAAACGCTTTTGCCCCTAGCACATTTCACAGCTTCGACTGCTACAGACTGTCACTGGAGAAATAAAACAACGCGTCGGTCGGTCAGTGTGAACCGTGTCAAGTAAACTATGGAAGTAGCGGACCCCCGGCACAGGCTGCGCTGGCACGTTCCTGTGGGGCGGACGGGCGGCGCGGGGCTCGCTCGGAGCCGCGGCGCCGCGGGGCTGGGCCGGCACGTCGGGGCGCCGCTCAGTACCGGTGCGCCTGGTGCGAGTACTGCGGCGGCGGCGGCGGCGGCTGCGAGGTAGTTGAGTAGCCCAGGCTGCTCTGCGGCTGCGAGGTGCTCGGCCCGGCGCTGGGGTAGGCAGCGTGCGGGTTGGAACGCTGCGGGAGGCAAGCGAGGCCGTGAGCGCCGCCGTGAGCGCCGCCGYGCGCCGAGCCCGCGGCCCGTTAGCGACGGGGCGCCCGGGATGGGGCTCCCACGAGGGGCGCCCGGGATGGGGCTCCCACGACGGGGCGCCCGGGACGGCCCGACAGCGCCAGGCAGTCACCAGCCCCGTGTCCCCCCGGCGGCGCTCACGGGCAGAGGCTCCGTCTGCCGAGCTCCTCACGAGGGCGAGGGGCAAAGCCCGGCCGAGCTGCCCAACAGCAACGGCCGCTCCCAACGGGGCACCCTCCCAGCCAGCGTTCTTATAACACGTGCTTGTAACTGTTTTAATACATAAAACACTACACAAACCCCAGGGTTTTTCTTTTAACTCCCTCACGTCAAGGCGCTCCGAGCAGGCCAGCTAGGACCAGCTCTGGGCCTACCCCAAAGCGAGCTGCGCACAAAGCGTGGAGAAGCAGAGGCCTTCAACCTAACTTCAAGATAATTTCCACATAAACATGGAGCCAGCTAGAGATACTTCACATATTTCATATTTTCCTTAACGTGCTGTTTGTGCTGTATTTCTTGCGTGTTTGCACACAAAATTTTGCAGCTTTTAGAAACTGCAGCGGTAACTTCTGCGCTAACAGGGCTCATTGGGATTGTGGGCAGAGGCACCTCTTGGAAAAGGGCTGGAAACTTCTTCTCCATGGGGAATACGCTACGGCTGCAGCTTAGCTAGCAAGGCCCCAATACACAAAACTATGGTGAGCCAAAATTCAAGAAAAGTAAAATATTAAAATATCCATAAAGATTTTACAAATTAGAGCATAAAATAGTAAATAAGTGATCCCATTATTTTTTGTTTTATGCCATCCTGCAGTTAGAACAGAAGTTATATCCAGGATTTTGAGATCATGGCAAATGTGCAAAAAGGAAATCAAATTCTGCTGAGGAACAAATTCTGCTCTTCGGAATGAGCTAATTCTTGAGGGGGATGCAGCACGAAGGGCGAGGAAAGGTTTATTCCCAAAGTTTGCTGCCAGCAGGARTAAATGTGAACTTCATGGCTAACACTGAGCTTCGGTCACACCTGCAGACAGTCTGGAGAGCTGCACTAAGTCACTCAGAGGGTCACCCTGGGACCATCCCTCTCTGTAGGGGTGACAGAGGATGTGTTTAAGGGAGCAAAAGCCCCTGGATACAGAGAAACACCCAGAGGGTTAATCACAAGAGAAAGCTCCGGGTAGCAGAACTGCTCCAAGGTGTTTGCTCACAGGCACGTGGGGAGCGTTGTGTTGCACGCTCAAAGGAGGAATCAAGGACGTCCCCATGCCATGTTGCCTGCTGCTTTTACACATGGGAAATGGACAAGGAATCAAAGGATAAAGAGGAGGACACGAGGTCAAGTGGCTCGACAGAGAGCAGTTTGGCTTCCGAGCGGATGGAGAAGCTGCCTGGGAAGGGCTTGCCCAGGAGATGGCAACGCTCCACCGGCCTTAGCGAGGAACGGAGCGCCAACAAAGGGGCAGGTGTTGGATTAAACAGAGCTGCCTTGTGCTGTGTGTTTGCCAGCTCCTCAAGTTGCAGCATCAGAAGCAGGGAGTGGGTTTTTTTTTTTTTTTCTTCTTTCATCTTTTTTTTCTCTTTCCAAGGAGACCTGAAACCGTCCATAGGGAGCTTTTAGCTGCTTTTGTTCCAGTGCTRGCAAGTCCACATCGCATCGCATTTCTGAGACGCCTTAATTGGAGCAAATCTTCTCCTTGCCATCTTGTAAGGCTGGGGGCAAACTAAAAACTGCATTTTTGGAAAGCAGGGAATATTTTTTTGGATTTTTTTTTTTGGGGGGGGGGGGGGGGGCAATTTTTGGAAATGCCTTCTAGATGGACAGCAAAAAAGATAGCCAGAGCAGCCAAATCATTTCAAAGAGCAGCAGCAGTTACCACGACCAAGGCAAACCTATTCTGAAGTTAAGGTTGCTGCAAAGGGCTGCCCCAGGAATAAGCCTTGCATGGGTCTCAGAAAGCAGAGCGGGGCCCAGAGCCGCCCCCGCTCCGCTTTGGTGAGGGGAGAACAACTCCCACCAAGGACTTCTGAGTCTTTTGATCTGCCAGCTTGCAGACCTCAGGGACAGAAGTGGAAGCCACAGCTGGCTCGTGTGCAGCAGCAAAAGGAGGTGCAGGACACGCAAACAGGGCTCCTGCACCCTCTGCACCCACCTCTCCTAAATAGGGGAATCAATGTGAGTGCTTTCTTATATAGATACACACAGAAGCAACACAAAGGAAAGATCCAGCTCAAAGTCTGGGATGGGGACTAGCTTGCTTGGCAAATTAAAAGGGATGAATCTCCGTAAATGAGTGTCCCATGACACATAACCTAACTGAAAGATGATATCTATATACAAAGGGACCCCACATTGCTGCACCACAGCTGGGGCTGACGACAGTTTTAAGCTTTTCTATCTGGCCCTAAAACACTACATCATACACAGAGAGCAGCTTGAGAACTGGAATGGTATTGATGGCCCAGGACAGATTTAGCAAAAGCCCTTGGGGATTATCTCACAATAAAGCTCCTGAAAATGATCCTATTGTACATTTGTAGGTTCTTGCAAGTTTTGCATAGTGCTGGAAGTACAGCGAGATTTACATGAGGATAAGAGTCCTGCCCCTGGGCAGCCTTTGAGGACATCTGGTACAAACTGCTCAAAAGCAGGAAGGCTAGAACACACATTTCAAGCTTCCCTAAGTATTTCTTTCTTTTTCTTTTCTCCTCCACCCCCATTCTTCTGCACTGACTGCTACAGCCTCACCTCACTCTTCAACAGCACTGGGTTTACACAAGCTGAAACCTCTGCTGGGCTTTAAACACAGATTACAATAACACTGGGCTAATTCTTTGTCAACCTGGACACAGCTTCCCAATCCATTTGCCCAACTAAAACTCTTGCCCAGATTCTCACGTCATAATTTTTTATTACAACATCCTTTTTATATTATTTTAAAATATTGAGCAGTATTTTAAGGTCACAAAGAGCTCTGCACAACAGGATCCTGGGCCGTAACTAGCATTCTTTAAAATGAAGGTAATAAAATAGTAACTGCAATAATCCTAAATTCCGATTTAAACTGACCCAGAAAGCTTGAGAATGAATGGGCAAACAGACAACAAAGTTCATTTCATTTGATATGGAAGAAGCCAGAAAATATCACCTATTACACTGACACAGAATTACTTTAGGTTAAAAAAGTCTGCTGCAAAAATCAGTCTCCAAAACACAATATCTGAACTTTAAAATAAAAGAAAAAAAATAAATAATAATAATAATTAAAAAAACCCAGATACCTGATAGTCTGAGGTCATGATAAGTCCACCTGAGGTAGTGGTAGGAGGAACAACTCTCACTTTTTTCAGTGGGGGTCCCTGTGTGTGACTGTTGTCTTGGTTCCCTGGATGACCAGTTCCATTAGTGTGGTTATTGCCCTGCTGCTGCTGCTGGTTCTTCTCAAGTGTTTAAACACAAAGAAAAATTTAAACTCAAAAGCAGTACATGAAGTAGGATGAAAACAGGGAATAGGGTGGAAGCCAGAGAAGCATGATTGTGCTGTTCTTCTTATACTTACTTTGTCTCCTTTATCATCTGGTTCTTCTTCTGTTAAAAATTCTCGTTTTGGGTAAGGGATTTGACAACCTGCAAAAACACTGCCCCCCCAAAAAAAGTGTACTTATCACCATATTATTTATCACCATTTATCACTATTTATCACTATACTAGAACAGGGTGGTTAGCCCTGTAAGATCTGTACGCCACCTCTTCTAGTTTCAAACTACTTTCTAGTACCCTCGTCTTCCCTATTTTACTTTCATCATATTCCAAAACTTTCAGACTTCATAAAACCTATTCGCATTTTTTTTAAATGTTCAGTGACTGTCTGAAACTGTCAGCTGAATTCCTGGCTTTCACTGCTTCTGGTGACAAGACTGGTGTCTGGAAAGGCAGACCACTTGTTACACACTTGTAAGAGCACAGAGCGCTTCCTTAATCCAGGTATAGTTTAATTCATTACCTCAGGTCTAGAAACTCACTGACTATTAATAAAACCATCTGCAACAAAACATCTGAATAGGCAGAAATGTCATCTATCAGTTCATATCTCAAGAACCACATGAATTTGTCACTGCTGGTGAAAATTCAGATTTATCTGCCCTTAACCAGTCTCCATATACCTGTCAGCAAATTATTCATTGTGAGTTCATGTCAAAATGCCAAATTAAGATTGGGGAAAAAAAAAAAAAAAGCAAATCATTCACATAACAACATTAAAAACTATACAGGACCTGTTATAAATAATTTGGTAGGTYTTAGGCCAAATAGCGTCATTTTAAAAAATGAACTGCTATAAATACGCATGAAATATTTTATAAACTCCTCCCTAGGTAACAGTAGAGAATGACACATGGGATGTGCTAATGCTCTCCTAAACAGGTGTACAGCGTGCTGTCCAGCTAGCCCGCCTGTTTTCCTGCCTCTTATTAAAAATGTAGTTTATTTTTACATTGTTGTTCCTAATTTTTCTTCCTTCTGTACATCTCCATACGTGAACAAACAGGCAAAAATAAAGATGAGTCTAAAGAAAACAGATTTAAGCTGCGAGGGATGACGGTGGGGAGACACAGAGCCCATGCCCCCTCCCAGTGAATTCAGGACTACAGGTCAGGATGGGGCCACGCTGAGCAAGGGGCCCAGACCCAGACCGTCCACCCGCCAGAGACTCGTGCTGCCACTAACAGCATCAGCCTTCCATAAAGGAAGAGATTTATGGGAATGCTACTTAATTTTAAAAACCTCACACGGCATCTAACCCATTATCACTTCCTTTGGCTGTCAGGGAGCGTTYGGCTCCATAGTCTTGAGTGGATATTTATAGTGCGGAGCAGACACAAAGCACGGGTTGCTGCCACGTCTTGGGAGCACTGATGGGATAACAACCCGAGCACTTACTCGGAAGTGGGAAGCGGATCTTCTAGGAAATAGGGATCCTGCATAGCCTGTTCTGAGGTAATTCTCTTTATTGGATCCATTGTGAGCAATTTCTGAAGCTGCACAAAATTAAACATAAAAAGCGTTGTGTTATCAGAAYTGCTAAAGAAACCTCATTGCAATGTTCCTGAAAAATTAAGTGGTAAGATTTGTCTGAATTTGTCAAAAGCTTTACCATAAACTGCAAACACCCCTTCCTCTCCTGTTTAATACTCAATTTCCCACTGAACAACAATGTATTTGTGTGCCACGCCTTCAATGCTCAGTTCTGACCACAAATGTTCCAACAAAAACACAGAAAGAGCCTCTACAAAACGCCCTCCCTTTTCACTCCCCACAAGATCCATCATGAACGTGTTCAGCTGTTTCTTCAGCTGCACTGCCCTTAACAGGTAGCATCATCACAGCCACAGACTCTCAAATTGAATAACTCTTAAAAATTAGGAAACAAATGTGATTTCTCATTCATTATTACTTGTTACTTTGTACTCTCATAGTGTAGAACTCCATCGTCACTCACAGTCTTACAAAAGCATTATCCAAAGCTTAGAAATCTTCACCCCATACAGAAAGTGCAATCAACATCAGGAAAACCCAGCTGGCCCAAAAACACATGCCAGAATGGGTGGCAGAGTTATCTGCTCATGGACTCCCGGCCACATCTGTTTGGTGAATGCTGCTTCAAAGAGGAGTTGGGCAAAAGCTCCAATTTTGGTTGCTTGTTTTGCACAGTGCGTCCAGCCCGAGCTCTGCTGCAGCTCCTGTCAGCTCAAGGCTCCAGCTTTGATCTCTGCAGCAGCTGCTGAGCGTCACATCAGATCCAAAATGCGTGTGTTTGCTTAAAGGCAATGAAAGCCACGAGGTATGAATATGCAGAAACCAATGCAAAATGAAATATTTTACAAAAAAAMCCCTTGAACTCTGTTCCACTCAATACTACAAATCTGTATCCTTTGAGAAAGCACCTCTCACCCTGGCACAAAGTGTTCACTGAGGACCCTGGGGGTTGGTCCCATACCTAACTTCTTTTTGAAGACATGCAGGATGTTTCAGGAACAGCCAGCAGAGAAAGAAATCTTAAGGCARTATATGTTGAGGAGAAATAAAAAAGATAAAAGCAAATTGATCTAGCCAAAGTGAAATGAAAAAAAAAATATAAGAAAGGAGTTACAGATATTACTASTTAGAAGTATGTGCTATGAGGAATGCCTAGGACAGATGGCCAGAAAGTCTCCTGAGTAACTTCCAAGTACCTGCAGCAGACACAAAGTCTCCAGCACAACAGGGAAGGTGCAGAGGTTATTCTGAAGTCAACCCTAGCCCTGACTTCACCGTTCTGCTCTCATTTGGCTCACGCACAAACAGCAGAGGCCAGCTGGGCTTTCTGCATTTGTCACTGTGATTGTCGGTCAAAACACATCATAAGTGTCACGTTCTCCCCTAATGTGTCAGTATTTTTKCTCTATTTTAAGAGCAGACCAGAGTGACTTCCCATTTTTCTCTAGCACTRGAACAGCAGGGATGCTTTCTAAAAGCAGGCGCCTCTTATTCAAAATATCTGGTGCATATGCATGTATTTCCCCCTGTCCACCAATAGTTACTTTGCAAAAAGCAATATACATGGGCAGAATGAGATGATTTTCYGCAGAAAACAGCAATAAATAATGAATCTTCATGTTTTGGCATGGAATACAGCATCCAGTGCAAAACTAAGCTAGGATATACTGTCCTTGACATCGCTCTTTAAAATAAATGCTAGACTTGCACAGCACTGCCCCGCTCTTTTTTCAAGCACAGATGTAATAGGAAGGGTAAAAAGCACATGTGGAAACAGCCTTCACTGCACATTTTGTCTGTGTACTTTCATGGGATGAAATTCAGCCTCCTGTAAAGATCTGCAGTGTCACGGGCTATGTAGGAGCTGGCCATCTCCTTGCACACCACTGTGCTGCAGGCAGCTGGGGTTACAAAGGACATTTCCCCTCCTCAGCATAATCACGGGGTAAAGAACATAATAAATATGTACTAACACCCCCAATCCAGCTTTGCTTTTGCACCATCAGCAAAGGCACACAATAAAAATTTTCAGCCCTCGGAGTCTGCATGTGGTTTTTGCAGAGCAGCAGCTTGAATAGACCAATTGTTCTCTCCAACAGTTCAAAAGCAATCCCGAGAGCCAAAAAAAGGGGAAGGAAGAAGGGGAAAAAAAAAGACTGCCAATGTGCTGAATAACATAACAAGAGTATAAAGTAATAGCAAAACTCTGGTGGCTCTTCTGGCAGTGAGGTTGTGAAGCTGCTGTCCAAGATGCACAGCAATGCCCCCATTCCCCAGCACATTTTAGCCAAGCTTGATGGCAAGCCCTCCACAGCAGCCTGGAGGGTGGCACAGCCACTTCAGCTAAGAGAACTGAGGTTTTAAATTAAATATTAAGCTAAACAGAGATATCACGGCATTCTCTGTGATGTTTCAACTGTTTTTTCAATGCTGCCTTGACATTTTTCATGTTACACTCTCAATGTGTTCCTGAGTTTTGTACAGCGCAGACCTAACTGCACTACAAAAGCCATCAGGAGAAGAGACGTTGGGAACTTGACAAAAGAATGAAATACAACCTCTGCTGCTTCCAGAAAGTATGAGAAACAGTTGAGGATCTTGTGGAGGGGGGGAAGAAATGGAGTGACTAGCAACATTATGCAGATTTTTTGCATAGATCAGATTTTTATCTCAGATTGCACAGCTGGGATACAGAAATCTACCACTCCTGTGTTTTTTTAGCTCTATTTTAGCTCAGCTGGACTTTAGCTGGAGTCCAGTAGATCTGGACTCTAAATGTGTCAGAAGTCAGATTTGCAGGTGACAGGCTGCCAATTTGCTCTCAAAGAAGGGCAATTAGAAAGTACTTATGTTTACATATATATTATTTCAGAAAACATTTGCCTACAGGGTAGATGAGAAAGATCTGCAAAGTGGCTCTGTTCACTTGCTTCACCTTGGGCCAGGCCCAAGGATGAACTTTTATATCCAAACTCTATTCTACTTGAAATGCCATATTTGACAGATATTCCATGTCCACTACTTTTGGTTACTGAATTACTCAATAATAATTTCCACAAATATGTGTATTTTGATAGGAATATTAGATATTATCTACCTGCTCTACCCAATGCACCTTTACAAGTGTGTATTCTCACACTAAAATGATATATGAGCATCTTGGTAGATTCTAAAAAGACCTTTATGAAGCTCTGTTATTAACAGCCACCTGGGAAAAACAAGATTGGGGATGGGCAAAACGCGCTCTGCGTTGCCTGTGCATAAAGGCTCTTCAGTTCTGCACACACTACCATAAGCTAATTAGGATTACACATAAATATACTGACTGCAACAGCAACATATAGGGGCTTCTGATTCTGCTAAGGTTAAAAACAAAAACCCACAACAGTCGGATTCTTCTCTCTCTGAGAAGATTTGAGATTTGTTTTCCTGCTTCTGGTAACGTATCTTTAGTATAACTCCTATCTGCTTGGGAACCTCAGTCAGAAAATACTCATGGTCAACTCATTGCAACATGAATGCTGCCTCACTGCTTCTTTGACTGAAGGACAAATTTCAAAATTTATATGAAGAAAAAAGTATTAAACAGAAAAAAAAAAAAAAAAAAAGGTTACATCAGAACCTTTGGGTCCAGTCATCACAGTGGGTGCATGTGCAGCTTCAAATGTCTT